TCGAATCCCACGTCGGGCTCCCGGTGCATGGAACCTGCTTCTCCCTCTGCCTGTGTCTCTGCCTCTCTCTCTCTCTCTCTCTGTGACTATCATAAATATAAATAAATAAATAAATAAATAAATAAATAAATAAATAAATAAATAAAATCTTTTCTTAGGGAGGTTCCTTAATTTTTTTTTTTCCTATTGCACTGATCAACTAATATAAAGTATATATGGATGTTTAGTATATTAAGGAATCAATGAATCTCATAATCCTGTATTAACCCCTTTATGTGTTGATCTTTTTGTTTCCCCTAGGAAATCCTGAACTGTAAAATAAAGAAATGCCATCAGGAATCAAAGACTCTGAAGTTTGGAAGGAGCAGTTGGGAAGGATTATGGGTGCCCGATAACATACAAAACTAAAATTATGAGGTCCTGGTCTCGGAAGGGTGCAATGTCTTTGTCGAATGTGCTATAAAGAGAGAAAAGGATGATCAATTGGGCAATCACTTATTATTCAACATTCACACAGCTGTGTCATTTCCTGTTGGCCAAAGGGTGAGAGCTAAGTCTACACAGCAGCAGTAAATCACATTAGCAGTCAGCATTAATGAGGAAAAACAAGATCAGATTCTGCAACCCAACTGGAATACCCTTACCAAACAGACTACACAGCTTACTGCAATGCCCTTGACAGGGCACTCAGCCCCAATTTTAAGAGGAAATAAAGATAAAGACTGTCTTCCAAGAGAACAAATTCTTCCCAGACAACAAATTCAATCCACCGAGTTTTTTTTATGAACCTTTCCTCAATTCCTCTTAAAAAAAAAAAATGCATCCCATTCTGTTGATGTTACATCAGGCCAGCTGAGTGACTATGACAAAGAAGAGACAACCTCAGGACAGAGTGTATACATCCTGCCCTTGTTTTCATATTGAACTTCAGGTATCTGAAGCTGTTGCATACCCACCATCTTACCAAACTCTTGAAGAGAACACCCATGACTCCTCTCCCTATTTTCTGACACGGTGTCTACGAAGTCATCCTGCATGTTTCCTTGCATCTCTGTCACCCTCCTGCTCCACTGCTGATGCCCAAGAGGGGTCTGGGCTTCCTCCTCACGGGGCACTTGCTCCTTGGAACACGTCTGCTGGAGTCAGAAAAGAGGCAGCAACCATGAATAAACAACTCGGAGCTGCCTCACAATGTCGCACCGCGAGCCGGGGGCTCCATGAACACAGGGGACCTAGAGTCTTGGTGTCTGTGGTGTGTTTCCAAAGAAGAATGTTTGAAAATACAGGGCACGTGATTTTCAAGCAGCCTTATCTTGCAACTTGAAGGAGGCAGATGTCCTCATTCTCTTGTAAGGATGAAACAGGGAAATCACTGGGTCATGTTTGCCAGGGGGCACGCGGCACGTTGGTGTGACCCGGACCGGACCCAGGCCGGCCTACTCGCCAGGCCCGGCACAAACCCTTTCTTTGTGTCCCATGAAAGGTAGTTCCTGTGGGAGGGGTGGCTTCCCTGCAATTAAGAGCAAGGGTTGTTGACCGTAAAGGAAGGAATTCTTAAGCTCACACCTCTCAGGACAATGGAATGCTGACCCCACGTGGGTTATCAGCCAGTGTATTTTGGAATCTTCACTATGTTTTCTCTGCCTTGAATTTAGAGGTTAGGTAGGGAAAGGAGAGCATAATGGGAAAACAAACAGGAAAGGTCAGAAAAAGGAGGACAGTAGGTAATGTATGATCCCTCCATGGGGCTTCACATCCTCCAGATGAATGTTTTGCTTCAGGGGAAAACTTTCACCACAGTCTAAAAGTTAAGCCTTTTCCAGGACTTTAGATTCCATTTAGATCTGAAAATCGCATTGAGGATGAGCAGTTACATCATCGTCTTACAGGTAGTGAAGTGACAGGTGCAGACCTAAACGTGGAGCCATTCATTCATTCATTCATTCGGGTAGTCCTGTCATGTCACCCCCCAGCTTTCTGTCCTCCTATGGCTCCAGTGGGAGCCAGGCCCTGGCTCTACTCCCCACCCACTTATCGTACCATCTTGTTTTTTCTCCCTGGAGCTTGCACAGGCCTTCTTATTTGCGTACTTCCTCCCTTACGGTCTGTCCCTGGTCTGGAGCATGTGCCTGGTGAGAACAGCAAACAGGTCCGGCCTCTTTGCTGTTACACCTACAGCTCCTGGAAGTGTGCCTGGCATATAGCAGGTGTTTACTAAATATTTGTTGAACTAAATCCTAAATTATTTTTTTTTAAGTACTGAATATCTATGACACACTGAGTTCCAGAGATCCGGAGAAGAAGAGGAAAGACCTCTTGCTCTAATGACACTTGGAGACCCGGAACATCCGGCAGGTGGTTTCCTCCTCTATTACGCGGCCGTTAAATTTCACTCAGCAACTGGCAGGTTCCTGGAGACTCAGGTCACCTGGTTTCCAAAAATAGTCCTCCACTGTGATTTCCGATTAGGGCTCTCATGTTGCCTGGGATAGACCTTGTTTACAACTGCTGTTCTGACATAATCATTAGTAGTACCTTTTTTTTTTTTCTCTCAAAAGTACCCAGTTGATATGACAAATTACATGCCTATTCACTGTCAGCCAAACACTAATAATTCATAATTATTGCTAGTTAGGGTGGCTTAACTGCATAGACCATGTCAATACCGTAATACGGAAGTTCACATCCTATCTCTAGAAAAGGGCAACTTTTTAAGTTAAGAATCCGAAAGAAGGGTGGACCTCTTCTCCCCGTACTAATTAAGGAGTCCGCCAATGAGGCTAGTATTTCCCGAGGTATGTTCAATAATTCCAAGACATGTAAATAGGAGTTACAGGCAAAACACAAGGCAACACAGAGATTCTTTATTGTGCCAGAAACTACTCTGGGAAGTTCGCTTGCATGTCCTCATTGTTACTCTTAGGATTCCTGTGTAAGAGATGATGCCATTGAGGCTCCGAGAGGTTGAGGAACTCGTCTAGGGTCACACGGATGCACTTCTTGGTGACCCCCTGGCCCCGGCCATTGCACCCATTGCTTCTCAGACAAATGAGCAAATAATTTGATGAAAGCTTCCTGTGCTTAAGTAGGGAAGGCGGGGTCAAGGACGTTGAGGAGGCTACTTTTCTTAGAACTTTTTTGTGTCTGTAACCTGTCGAAGCACTTCGTGCACCCTCAAGGGGTGACGTGGGCACGGTGTCTCCCTCATTCATTGGGACCCATGTCCCTGTTTGTGAGGAGGACTAAAGTCCTGCAGACAACACTTTGCTGCTTTGGGACCTTGATCGGGGCCAGCTCCCCCTTTCTCTCTGGGTCAGCCCTGCCTGTGTATCAACACTCACCCTCTCCCTGGGTCTGTGGAAGGGTCCTCCTTGAGGGGCTCCGGTTTTGTCAGCTCAGAAGCAGAGACATGACCACCCTCGGGGATCCATGAGGCTTCATGATCATTAGTAGTACTTTTTTTTTTTTTCCTCTCATCTCACCCAATACTTACATCTGTGTTTTTAGCCCCATTTCAGTGCCTTCTCATTCCCCATGCTGAACATTCTGGGGTTTCTTTTTTTCCTTTTTTTTTTTTTTTTAAAGATTTTGTTTATTTATTTGAGAGAGAAAGAGAGAGTAAGAGAGAGCAGAAGCACAGATAGGAGCAGGGGGAGAGGGAGCCTCGGGACTCCCCACCGCCCCCAGCAGGGAGCCAAATGCCAGGCTCTGTCACAGGCCCCCAGAGTCATGATGGGTCACAGACACGCCATGAACCACCTGAGCCACCCAGGCACACCGAACATTCTGGGTTTTCGCCTCACCTTCTCATTTACAAGCCTACAAGTCTCCAACAAGGGTACCTATGAGATTTTTGGCCAATGTCTTTACTACAGTTTAATAGTTGAAACCTTTCCATTGGAAACACGGGAGATCCAGATGGGAAAAGAAGGACCTCTGATAGGGGAGGCAACAGATGCGTGGCCATTTTGCTCTTCCTTTTGTGTGTGTGTGTGTGTGTGTGTGTGTGTGTGTGTGTGTGTCGGAGGACAGCCTGGAAGAGAGGAGGAGAGGGAGCAGGGAGTTGTACCTGTGTTCTCCAGCTGGGCACAGATACCAGTTGTGGTATCTGGGCTCATCTTTGATCCTGGGGGAGGGAAGGCTACGGAGGGAGGACACGGAGGACACGAGGCAGGGCCGCACACCCGCCTACCCAGTCTCCTTCCTGGAACCGGGCAGCCGCTGCCCTGCACCTTTGGATTCCTGGGACAGTGGGGCTGACTGTACAAGACTTTCACACTCAGTTATAAGCATCTTCTGCTTTTCTTTTCCTCTTCTTTTCCTTTCCTTTCTTCTTTTCTTTTTTCCTTTCCTGCTCCCATCTCAGCTGGGCACACCTCAAAACCCTCCTGCCTCCTCCTGAGCGACAGTTTTGGAAGCCCCTGTGCTGCTGTGACCCAGACAGGCCAGTTCCCGCATCCGAAATAGCCTGGCTCTACTATTGTTCCCTGGCCTACATAGGTGATAGAAACCATGCCTTTAAAAAAAAAAAAAAAGAAGAATGCAAGCGCTTAACCCTTCCCAACCCAAGACTGGCTGCTTCCTCCGCGCCTGAGCTGCCTGAACTTGGGTGAGAAGCGCGTTGGCTTTCACCTACCGACCGACGTTCCCGCGGCCTCCGCCAAGCGGCCCGCTCGGGAACCCTAATAAAAGCCGGTCCCCGCCCCCCGGACCCCCCCCCGCCCCCCCTCCCGGGTCCCGCGGCCCGCTCGGCGCGCACCGCCATCCCGCGCGGCCACCCTAGAGGGCGCCCGGGGCGCGCTCTCCGCGGCGAGGGGACCGCCCCGCTCGCGGCCCCGCGGAGGCAGGAGGCGGGTCGCTTCCCGGCTCATTGAGAAAGAGGATTGGAAGGCCCGGCCTATAAAGCGGCGCCGGGCGCGGGAGACAAAGCAGTCGGGCCGAGGTGGACGCGGCGGCGCGCCGAGCCGGCCTGAGACTCGCGGAGGGGAGGGTCGCCTGCGCCCCCCAAGCCCCGCCGCCCCGCCGCCCCGCCGCCCCGCCGCCCCGCCCGCCTCCGATTTCCAGACCGGCTTCCAGAGAGACGGAACTCTCTCCTCTCTCTCTCTCTCTCTTTTTTTTTCCTCCAAAAGAGAAAATTCCTGTTCCAAGAGAAAAGAAGGCAAGATCAATGAAGGAGAGAAGGGCCAGCCAGAAATTGTCCAGTAAATCGATCATGGATCCTAATCAGAACGTGAAGTGCAAGATCGTGGTGGTGGGGGACAGTCAGTGCGGGAAAACGGCGCTGCTGCACGTCTTCGCCAAGGACTGCTTCCCCGAGGTGAGCGCGCCGGGCCCGGCCTGCCCCCCGCCGCGCCCCGGGGCGCCCCCGCCGCGCCCCCCGCCGGGCGGGGACCCGCGAGCCCCCGGGGACGCGTCTGCACCTTCCGCTCCGGCGGCGGACACCTGCCGGCTCCCGTGTGCGCGGGCGGGTGGGGAGGCTCGGCGGCCGCGTCCCCATAGCGCGGAGGCTCGGCGGCCGCGTCCCCAGCCCGCGGAGGGGACTCGGGCCCTTCGGGGTCGCTCCGCCCGTCTGGCTGGCGTGTGCGGCTTTCCCCCCTTTTCTTTTTTCCAGTCGGGGAGCGAGCAGGCGGGTTTCGGAGGGCGCTCTGCGGGTGTCGCGCACCTCCGGTAACCTCTGTGCCCTCTCTCCCTCCTCTGTCCAGAATTACGTCCCCACGGTGTTTGAGAATTACACAGCCAGTTTTGAGATCGACACACAAAGGATAGAGCTGAGCCTGTGGGACACGTCGGGTAAGAGACCGTCGGGCCGCGTGGCGCTCGGGGCGGGTTCCGGGCCCCAGCGCGTGGCTCCCCGCGGCCCCGGGTGACTTCGGGTGACTTCGCCTCCGCCTCGGGTGCCCGCGGTCCCCGCCGGGCGGGGCGGGGTGGGGGGAGGGAGTGGGGCCGAAGGGGAGAGCCAGGTGGCCCGAGGTCGGGGGGCTGCGTGCGCCCCTCCGAGAGCCGACCTGATGACGGCCGCGGGGGCCGCGGGGGCGCCGGGAGGGGGACAAAGTGCCCGGAGCCACGCAGCCCCGCGTGTGGGGAGCGCGTGCGGGGTCAGCAGCGGGGGCGCGAGCGGTCGGGGCGGGGCGCTCGGGACGCCTGCGGCCGGGGACGCGCGGAGGGGCGCAAGGGCAGAGGGTCGCAGCGGCACGGGGTGGAGGGGCGCGGGGTGGAGGGGCCGCAGACGCAGAGGGGCGCAGGGGCGCGGGTCGGAAGGGCGCAGGGTGGAGGGGCCGCAGACGCAGAGGGGCGCAGGGGCGCGAGGTGGAGGGGCGCGGGGTGGAGGGGGCGCAGACGCAGAGGGGCGCAGGGGCATGGGGTGCAGGGGCGCGGGGTGGAGGGGCGCGAGGTGGAGGGCGGAGGAGCGCGGGGTGGAGGGAGCGCAGGGGCGCGGGTCGGAGGGGCGCGGGGGCGCGGGCCCGGGAGTCCGGCAGCCGGCCGGCCGAGCCGCGTGGGTGCGGACGCGCAGATCCCGGCCCCCCCTCCCCCCTCCCGGCCCCCCTGCATCGCCCTCCGCCGGCCTTGACCTTCCTGTCCCACTGAATTCTCGGCGTCGCGGTGAATTATCTTGAGGGGTCCGGGGTTCAAGGCCAGGTCACCGGGTCCCGGGCGTGGGGCGGCCGCGGGGGTGCGGGCGGGAGGCCCCGGCGGCCCCCGGGCTGGTGCCCCGCCCCCCTGCGGCGCGGGGAAGCTGGGGCGGGGGGGGCGGGGGGAATCCCGCTTCCCGGAGGTGTCGCCTCTGCAAGGGGAGGAGCCGCGGGAGGCGGGCGCAGCGGGCGCGGAGCGGCTGCGGGGCTGCGGCGGGAGAGGGGCCCCCGAGGCCGGGGACGCACCTGTGGCCGAGCAGCCGCCCGCAGCCCCCGAGGGTCGTGGGGAGTCGGCTCCATCGTGGCCTCCACGTGGCCGGGGAGGCTGTGCACCCACACAGCGCCAGGCACCCACAGCGCCCACGCGCCCAGGTGCCCAGGCGCCCTTGCTCCTGCGGCTCCTCCCGCCGGGGCCCCTCAGGCCGCCAGCTCCCCGCGGCCTACTCCACCCCCAAGCCTGGAGGGGCCTAATGCAGGATAAGAATCATTCAGGCGTGGGGTCTGTAATTCTGATTCACTGTTTATAAAAAAAAAAAAAAAAAAAGGCAACTTTTTTAGCTCTTAGTACTGGTTACTGGGGATTTCTGTGTGCAAATCGCTGCCTCCCTGAGTCTCCTGTCCCCTTTGGGGGGGGGTCCCTGAGTCTCCTGTCCCCTTTGGGGGGGGGTGCAGAGCTAGACAAAGCGCAGGACCTCCCCCCCCCCAGCTGCATACTCCTTGGCCTTGCACGCGAGAGCAGCCAGTCTTTTTGTTTCCCAGGACCTCGGTGGGCCCAGGGGCCCTGGCGTCCCCTGCTGGGCCTCGCACCACCCAGAGAGCCAGCCGGGCTCTGGGCTCTGAAGGGAGCCCCCGCTTCCTGGCAGATTTGGGAAGGAGCCGCATGTGGGGCGGGAGGGGGGCATGGCTGGGCTCCCAGGAATGCCGGATCATGCCTCCCCTGTGTCCTGCCTCCCCAGTCAGAGGACCACCAATGGAGCGTTTATAGGAGGCGACCAAAGGGCTAAATTGACTTTGTTTTTAGGAGAGAAAAGGCATATTGTTTTTTCAAAGGCTGGATAACAAACAAAATGTGGTCAGTGCTTGGTCGGTGGCCATGCCTCACATGCGCGGGTAAGAGCACTTCAGAGGTTCTCCGTTGCTTCCTCCTTCCTGGAGAGTTTGTAGTCCCCGCACATGTAAGCTCACGCCTTGCATGCAGTAGTCACCCAGGAAAACCTGTTACATGAATAATCATATGCACAGTTTCCAAGGAGATGAGATTCCCTGACATTTATTACCGCTGAATTACCTGTTCACAAAGAATGGCAACTTTATGAACACTGCCTTTCATCGCATTAAAGATAATCACCCGAAACGAAGTCTGTAGTGAAATAATCACTTGTATTTTTATTTAATGAAAACAAAACCTGTGCATGTTTAACTAAAATATAAGGGTTTGAAAAAAAAAAACTGATTAAGAAACCTTACATTGCAGAATTATCCAGTAATGAAATCTTAGCTGAAATTTAGATTTATACAAATGGGAACAAAAAGGCATAAGGGCATTGTTTAGAATCCTATTAGGTTGTTGGTGAGGCGAAATGTTAGGTGATTAAGCTCGGTCATGAAGCATTTCTTAAATTCTCAAAATAGACTGTTTCCACCAAAAATGGTTTATCATCCCTGATAAACATCTAGCAAGAGCCATTGTGTCAGCGGCTCGTCGAGTATTGAACATTTTTCTACTTCACCTCAAGGATTTTTCATCACAAATTTCTGAACAGGATTAGTTCTTGACAAATATTTGACATTTTCTTTGCCCACTGAGACATTTGTTTAGTTCAGGTTGTGAAAATAATTGCAAATGTCCGGTGCCTCTTGATACATTTATTTTTTTCCAGCTTCTATCAGTTTAACTGAACTGGACTGAACATTGGAGCCAAAGCCTCTAAAGTCCTAAACGTCAGATCTTTTTCTGCCTTCTAGAACTTTGTGAAAGTTTATGGTTAGTAGAAAAAAATGAGGTACGCCTAACTTTTTTTAGGTAGGAAGACAGATGGCATCGGCATTGACCTTTTGGGTGGTATTCACATCCTGTCTAGCCTCTTGGCAGAGGGGCAAACATTTAGGAGACAGAAGTAGTTCTCTTGTGGCTTCTTTACTTGGACAGCACCTCGTAAGTGGTCCCCCCCCCCACCGGGGGTCATGCAATCATGCATAGGTGCATAGGCAAAATTGCTAATTTGCATGTAGGAAAGAACATCAAGTGGAAGCCTGGTATGTGGGCCCTCTTTGCACCAAGACAAGAGAACTGATTCCCCACTTTTTGAGGCACAGTATTTATCAGTCCTTCACGCACTCTCTCTCCCTCCGTTCTTTCTGTTCCTAGATGAACAGGGCCTCTCTAGGCCTAGGGGTGCATGGTTGCTTTATAGTCTCTCCTCTAAGACTACTATGGCCCTGCTGGGGCGGGGAGTGGGGAGAAGGAAGCTCTCCCAGCCTAGTGTAGCTGAGAAGCAACCTGTGTTGACCTAATTTTGTTCGGTTCCCATACCCAAGTGCCCCACTCCACCGGGGTGCAGTGTATTTCCCTAGTCAGGAGTCCCTAGTGCTGACCCACCCTTTCGGTCCTCCTCAGGTAGGAAACACTTCCTCCCTCCCACCCTCAAGGCACACACCAATAAAAGCAACCACAAATGGCAATTTGCCACTTGATTTCTTATATAGCTGCTTGGAGTTCTTCCAGCCACCACGCCTCCCCCTCCCCCCCTAAAGTAGACAAAACCAAGTAATGCTATTATCAATCCTCTAAAGGGGAAGGGGATTTTTAAAGGTAGTCTTTGCATGCAGATCTGGCCTATCTGTATTTTAATGAAAAGTATTCCCCTTCTGTTGATAAGATGAGCCTTTTTATTATCAGTTGCAGAAATGCACCCAGTGGTTTTTCAGATGAGCTCAGCGAGTGCCTGCAAAACAGTGAGTGGGTAATGGTGTCAACATTTTGAAGTGACAAGGGAGCCCAAAGTGGTCCTAATACCTTGTGTTTTCAGAACGTGCCACATTCGCCAAGCACAGAAGCAGTTTGAAGCATGAAGCCAAATGCTTCCTGATAACAGAGACTTAGTCACTTAAGGATCACCATATCTTTTTCTAAGTGATTTGCTGATGGTATAATTTCAGCACACGTGAGCAATAATCATTCATGCCAGCTTTTAACCAATGCAAGTTAATGCACATTTTATTTAAGGCCTATTATTAGTTATAAAATACTCCATTCAGCTGCTAGAATTCCCCCACAATAACTATGCTATTGCCTCATGAACACTCTTTTGAATCTTGTCAAGATACAGGCTGCTTTTAGCCCGTGGGTGCTAAAGTTAGCACTTCCTGTGTTTTTAGCATAATTAACAGAGAATGTAGTATTCTTTAAATCGTATACTTAAGAGAGAAAAACCTTAATTACCCGTAAGGACCTGACTTTAAGGACAAACTCCGGTGCAAACACAAGTCGATACATATTGCATTTGTACCTTCCCCATCACATTAGAAGAATGGCCTTCGAGGCAAGCACCCAACTGAAATATTTCTTGACAGACCTAGAAGTGTTTCCAGCTGTGTTAGGGATCAGGATGTAATTAACCCAGAAAAGCGACTTCAAGAAGAGTTCACTGGTCCCTTGTGTGGTGACTTAACATGGAAATTAACCCATCAAGGCAAGACCTATAGAAATGATTCTAAAACCAGTCAACATGTTTCAAGGCCATCTGTGTGCAGGAAGGCTGCCAGAGACCGTCGGAGCAGTGGTCCCTGCCCCCGAAGTTCTCTGTGCCTCGGCCTTGGAACTGTAGTCCTGGCTTAGAGGAGGGTGGGCCCACACATTGGAAAGCCAGATTCACCTCACAGCAAGAGGATCCAGAAACTAGTCAGAGGCCCCAGAGCCAGCCCTCACGCCTGACCCGTGACTCCTCCCATTGAAGCCCACCACAATTCTTCCCATGGCTCCAGAGTTGACTCCATCCTTAAGAAGTCCTTAACAGCCCTCCCACTTGAAAACATGCCTACATTTAATGGCCTTCAGTGACCACAAGATTCTGAAACTTGAAACTTTCTCACTTAAATGAATCTCGTTAGAGAAAGGAAGGGGGGCAAAAATTTACAAAGAGGCCAGGGAAGCAGGAGGAC